GTTCCATCCTTCCCTCACTCGTGAACAAGACCCCAAGATACTTGAACTCCTCCACTTGAGGCAGGAACTCTCCACCAACCTGAAGGGAACAAGCCACCCTTTTCCGACTGAGAACCATGGCCTCGGATTTAGAGGTGCTGATTCTCATCCCAGCCGCTTCACACTCGGCTGCAAACCGCCCCAGTGCACGCTGGAGGTCCTGGTTTGATGGAGCCAACAGGACAACGTCATCTGCAAAGAGCAGAGACGAGATCCTATGCCGGATAAGCGGATAAAAATGGATGGATGGATGGATGGATGGATAGTTTTGTGTAAATCTGATTGTTTAGTTAAAAGCAATGATGGGATTTTTTTGTATTTGAATCAGATGTGAATTTCCTTTATTTTTATTAGATATGAGGATGATTTAGTTTTCTGAGAAAAGAGAAGTAGAATCTGAAGCTGAATCACAGTGGGGTAGGGGCCAGTTATGGGCAGTGGACTTGAGCTTTGACAGTAAAAGATATGCAATAGTTCTGAAGAACACGACTTTGCACGCCAAATAAGGTATCTATTCCTTCCTGTGTGGGAGGAATAGATGAAACCACCAATAGAGCCGCTACGGAGAGCAGGATGTCGGCGTGGGACATTGAACTGTGCTAAAGCCTCATGATTCAGCAAGGAAAATGAATTAGTGCCTAAAAAAAGGATTTACAACAAATTGTTTTTTTGCCTAAAAAGGATTTAAAATGAATTTTTGCCTAAAAAACTGATTTACAATGAATTTCTTGCCAAAAAAAAAGATTTACGATGAATTTTTGCCTAAAAAGGATTTAAAATGAATTTTTGCCAAAAAAGTTGATTTTTTGTTAGAACTACTAGGAGGAGTTTTTGTGTGTCAGTATGTTCAATATTCATCAATTTAAAGCACTTTATAAACAGAAGGTTATGTTACAGTATAAGGAGGATGGGGTTTAATCATTTGATGATGTATCTATAGGCTGTATTATCTTATCTTGTAGGTATTTCTGATTACTATTGTTGGAAGGATTATTATTGTTACCTGTGGTTATATATGGTGTGTATCTAAGATACAATACAGTATATCATGTTTTTTTTTCTTTTTACATGTGTATATGTATATACATAATTTGAAAGTTTTTGTTAACATTAAGAATTAAGGAAGCAGCTATTATGTTCTTTTGTTTTAATTGTAACAGACCGGGGTGGGTTTAAATAAGTTTGACTTCTTCCCACTTCGTTTCAAGCAAATCACTGATCTATATTGTTAATGTAAGGTGACTATACTCAGACCGGGGTGGGTTTAAATAAGTTTGACTTCTTCCCACTTCGTTTCAAGCAAATCACTGATCTATATTGTTAATGTCAGGTGACTATACTTTGTATGGATCGAATGCTTCTTATTGCCTTGTTATATGTTATTATTGCTCGAAATAAATAAATAAAAATAATTAAATAAAATAAGATTTAGAATGAATTTTTTGCCTAAAGAGGATTTACAATGAATTCTTGCCTAAAAGATGATTTACCTTGAAATGAAGATTTTCAACAGAAAGCCACAATCCACCCCACCTTGAGCCAGCTGAGAACAGGATTCAGTGAAAAAAACCTTTGACTTTTATTCAGATCAAGAGCTCAACGAATGATAATGTTTTTAATCAGTATGACCATTTTAGATTAATGTTTAGAAATATTGTTGATTTATTTAGATTTTAAGCCAATCAAGACAATTATTGATGATTTTAATGCTATATTGCTGCTTGCTACTGTGCTGTAACCTTTTTAAACTTCTATGTAAAATTCCTGAAAGGATTTAATACTCTCTCTCTTTATGGAGTAAATTTGGATGTTAAAGTAGGTAATGGTTAAAGCTGCACATATAGGTACACAAACGTTATGCGTGTTTGATATTACACAATTTATAGTGAATGTTTGATATTGCACAACAATTCACAGGATTGACAGTAGACCAACATTGAACTGCTAAAATGATTTTTAGACAGTTATATCAAAAAATATTTTATACAAATATTCAGCTGCTTACTTATTGCATAATATACACTATCCTTTAAATTTCCCATCCTTAATAACATCTTATGTCAACTAAATACTGTGCAAAGCAAATATGGTCTTAAGTGGCCAGTGTCATGGCTTTTATTGGTTATTTCAGACAAAATGTAACACTTCCTCAAAATGCCAGAGTATACTGGTTTATAAAAACTTCTCAGTAGAGTAGCATCTGAGAGTATAAGGAGGTAGCTGCCTATAACTGCAGGTCGTTATTATTTGGGAGGTTTTGGGGTCTTATCCTGAGTTAATAACATGAAAGAGGGAGGTCTGGAAAGAACTCTGTTTGCAGGTTCATGGTAGTCAATTACTGAGTGAATATCTTCACCAAAAAACCTCCAGCAGTGTTTGGAGCTTTAATATGTTTCAAATATGCCACCTTAGTGGGAGAGGTTAAGCTTTATTCCTATGTCCAGGGGTTACCATATCCTGGCCTTGATACATCACGTAAAGTACAGGTGCCTCAAAATTGTACTTACAGTAAGTACAGAACTTGGGTAAATGTACTGACTTACTTTCCACATTTTCTGCACTATTAAATGTTTTTTTCTTTCAAAAAAACAAAAAAGCCTAAGTCTTGACCTTCCTTGTTATTTATACCCAGTGTGGAAAAACCCACATGCTGAACAAAATTTAATTTGGTGTGCTCGGTTTGTTTACAGTAAGTATTGAATAAAATTTTTATATTTGTTTCTCTGACTTCTTGTTTCTCTTCTTCCCACCCGTACTCAGCTCTGGGGCAGATCATGCTGTATGTGGATGGGATGAATGGTGTCATTGGCCACACTGAGACAATCCAATGGCTGTACACTCTTGTTGGCTCAAAGGTATACAAATGCATATTAAATCATGCCTAAGTCCAGTTATAGATAAGACAAGCGCACACTGGTGCCACACACATGCGCACACACACACACTGCAAGCAGACTGTCATTGGCTCTGAGCTAACCATCCATTGTTAGGTGAGCATTATGTTTAGTGTTTACGCACAGAAACACACACAAACACATCTGCTATTAATTGTATTTGTTAGGAGCCGTTCGCACCAGTCAGTGTGCGAACGAGGAAAGAGGCAGACCCAGGTAGCCGACTTCGGTGCAAGCAGTGATTTATTATATACAGTGATCAAGGGAGTGACAATACACAGAGGGAAATAGTACGTAGTCCTGTAGATGAGTAGTAGCCGGGTGTTTGACCAACCGCAGGAGGTGAGGAGATGGAGACCTGGGCCGAGCTGCGTAGGTGGTGTCACTCCTGGGCTGGTCGACGGTGATGGTGGTGGTAGTTACTGAATGTAGAGACAGAGAGATTAAGGCAACTGTGTATTGACCTGCCTGGGAGGAGAGAGTGGAGCCACGGTCTGGAGGAACAGTCCTTCGAGGGAAACACAAAACAGTAGCTGGCTAGGGGAGAAAGACATACAAAAACAATCCAAAACGCACGGAGTAGAGTTGGCCTAGTGACTAGAAAGAACTGGCAAGTGACTGAGGAGTGAAACCGGGTAATATAGTGAGTGACCTAATCAAGTGCAGCTGGTGATAAGGGAGTGAGGAACAGGTGAACGTGATAAGAGTAATGGGGCAAGAGACAGTAGGAAAGGTGAGGGAGGCAGAGCGGCCGAGCAAACCTGACAGTATTGTCTTGTGTTGGTTCACATACCATGGACTGTAAAGTCTGACAAAGGGTACCCAAAGTCAGGAATCAAACACAATGTTATTCACAGATACACACACACACACACACACACACACACACACACACACACACACACACACACACACACAAATCAATAAATAGCTCCTGTTTATGTATTTTCTGGTTGACAATACTTCAAAAGTCTAGTCTGGAAGCACCTAATACACAAAGTCAAGTTGGCTTAAAAATGTATCATAATACATGCACAGGGATAAAATAGTAATGAGAGTTAACCAAAAATGTGGCTACAGGACAAAAACATACCTATTTTCTATGTAAGTCAGTTTATGTTTCCCCTCTAGTTCCGTCTGGTGGTGAAAACAGCACTGAAGCTGTTGCTGGTGTTTGTGGAGTACTCGGAGTCCAATGCCCCACTGCTCATAAAAGCCATCGCCTCTGTAGACACCAAGAGAGGTATAGAAAACTGAACTTTCCTCAAGCTGATGAGGAACTGGTTGAATAGCAACAGCGCAGCTGAGTGAATAGTAACAACACAGTATTAATGGATGATCTGATTCTTGGATGTTAATGGACTGATTTCCAGGGTACAAGCCATGGTCCAATGCTATGGAGATCTTACAGGAGAAGGATGGAGTGGACACAGAGCTGCTGGTCTATGCCATGACCCTCATCAATAAGGTATCTATGTCTATCCATGTATATACCGAATATCTATGCACTTTTTATTAAATAGTGGACACAGGAAAATATACATCTGATATGACCAAAGGTGCTTTAAAGCATTTGTTTTCTTTCCTTATTTGCCTCATTTTTGAGTAAAGGTTTTGTTATTTAATTCCTCAGTTATGCCCAAGGGAAATAATTAATGAGTTTTTAATGTAGCATTAGTAGCAGTAGTGATGCAGACATCAAAACTAAGTAATGACTATGCACCAGTAACTAAGTTTAAAGATTTGATGGATCTGTGTGGAAGAACAACAGTCCAAATGAAAACTGTTTTCACACATTGTATTTTGAACTTTTCAAAACAAGTAAATATCTATCAAAATAATAAATGGTCTAGAAATATTGTATATTGGGACTCAAAAAACCTGAAATAAATCCAAAGAAATGGCAGTACATTGGATTTTACCATAACTGATCAAATAACAAAAAAATGTATCATCAGACAATCTCTGATTCAGAGTTAATCAGGAGCAATTTACGAAAAAGCTGGTCGTTACTCCATTTTTCAGATACTTATGAACTAATCGTTACCTTTTGATTCGTAACTGCACTATCTTCTACTGTATGTAGTCCTCAAGTCAGAGTTACTCAGGAGCAACTCATTGATTCATTTGTTCTTCACTTGTTCCTCAGTAACTGTTCACATTTTTGTGAATAATTTTGTAAACTGTTATCATGTATGAGATATCCCAGCTTTTCCCCTAAACATTTTTTGAACAGGTGTGCTGGTTCAAAATGAAAATATTGCAATATTTTGGAATTTAGCCATCAAATAATTTTAATCCTCAGTTTGATGCCTACTTTCTTCGTTTTCTTTGCAGACTCTTGCAGCCCTGCCTGACCAGGATTCATTCTATGATATGGTGGATGGTCTAGAGGAACAGGGCATGGAAACAGTATCCCAAAGACACCTGGGGAGGAAAAGGACTGATCTGGACTTGGTTGAGCAGCTCAACAGCTATGAGGTTTGGCATATACTGTACACATGCATATTCAGTCAAGACAAATGATGAAAGCTGGTATGTCAGCACATCCAGTGAATACAGTGTATTTATAGTAGATTTGGCTAATACTATATAAAGCTCTCTGTGTATAGCACCTGTCACCATTCTCACCCTAATCAACTGTTCTCAGATGACCCTACAGCATGAAGATGGTGATGATGACAGCCAGCCTCCACCAATGGGACGCCGTGACCGCCGACGAGCCAGCCTTGGGGGCGGGGATAAAAGGTGTGGCCTGGAGAGAAGGCGTAGCCGCAGAGCCTCTCTTGGACGATCTGGCCACACCTCCCCCCGCAGCCCTGCATCCCCACAGAGAGCCGGCTTCGAGCCCTTCGGAGGACAGAAAGTCGATGATATGAGTGAGAGGTGAGAGATGGTGGAGTGTTAGTAGAGTAGAGGCTTCGAGCCCTTCGGAGGACAGAAAGTGGATGACATGAGTGAGAGGTGAGAGATGGAGGTGTTAGTAGAGTAGAGGGAAAAAGGTGTTGTTATTCAGCAGAAATAAAAAGCTGTGGTGCAAATATCACCCATTGAGATGCACATGTGAAAGAGACGTTCTGACTGTCTCATACCATCATTTTCTGCTCCAGAGCACTGTCAGGTTTCCTTCCATCCATGTAAGTTCAAAGTTCTCTCAAAAAACAAAGGTCACCTCCTGCCTCTGTGGCCTTCTGCATATGTTTTACTCCTGCTGCTCCTCACCTACATGCTTTAACAGCTACTAGTGTATCTCGTTACATACTGTAAAGCACTCTGAGTGGGCTATTTTGAAACACTGGCACAGACGTCTTTGCTAAAAAAAATCAAATGTTCTCAGCAGTCACACAAGCCTTCAGGGTTTGCTTGTAATTCAAATACAGATATACAGATTATTAAACCAGTATAGGCTTATTTCAGTGCTGTGTGTGTCTGTGTTTATGCACAAAAAAAGGGGAATTAGAAGCCGACTGCAGCTGTTTACCTCAGGTAAACCTTTCTTCTCTGTTCTTTCACTCCCAAAATATGCCTCTTCATCTTCTGGTAGTGTGTAACATGACCAAAGCAGATTATATCCCATGATTCATCTGGTGTTAAATAGTGTTAAGAGGGTGCAAACTAGGACACCTGTGTATCTCAGAAATGAAGTGATAATATGTATAACTGTGCAAGAATCTACTTGAATTTGGTTATGGAATGTGTTAAGTGAAAGTTGTTTATGTCAGAGACTATATCCTGCTTCATATTACACATGCACGCACCAAAAAACAAATGTTTACTGACTATCTCATTCATCACACACACGGCTCTCGTCCTGTGGAACAAAACCTGGCTACATACACAAGTTCGACTGCAAGACTCATCTGATTTCTGTTTGGTGACAAGTCACTCAAGTCACTTCTTCAGTCATGGCATATTGTTCTCTCAGCATTCCTTCAGTTCTTCTTCCTGTTTTGTGTTCATGTGCATGTAAAACTATGTAACTGGAGGCATGGAGTGTGAAAATATTCATCCACCATTTCTGCTATTTTATTTCCATGCTTTCTCTTGTCTTATTCCTTTTGTTTTTCTGTTGCTTTATCTTCATCTGATAATTGTCCTTGTTTGTTGTCTTTCACTATCATAATTGTCTGTGTGGTTTGGTAGTGCATTAACATTATTTCCACCCATCATCTAAACCTCAATTTCTTTCTTTCCCCTGTTCCATCTTTTTATTTCTTCAAAATGTGGTGATGTCCATTTGCGTGCTGTTCTTATGTGTGTCATCAAACCTTCCTTTAAATGCTCCACCCACCCATCCATCCATCCATCCATCCATTCTCCCATCCCCTTTCCTCTACAGAGAGGAGGAATGTGAGGATGAGATAGAGGAGGAGGCTCCGATCACTGAGTCTGATTCGGATGAGCAGGAGGGGGCTGATACAGTGTCTAATCAGACCGCCTCCAGGTATTTCAGGACATAGTGGTGACATGGAAATGAAATAATGTCCTGTGCTCTTCTGATATGCAGTAGACTTTATATCTAAAGCTACAGATCTATCTCTTGTTACATATCTTGTTTCACATCTGGTTGGTTTGATCTCTTTGTGGTCTATATACTTGGTAGAATTTAGTGTCAGCGCAGTACTCTGTAGCTCTTAAAGCTGTGTTACAGTAGGGTACACACGTTTCTAATTTGCTTTCATCCATTTATTCCTGTCCACCGCTTCCTCTGTTCCTGCCCGGCCAGGCATCTTCCATCTATCGTTCAGCAAACAACCCTCCAGTCCATCACCATCACTTCCAGAAAGGAGAATAAAAAAGAAGATGAGCAGAGGGATCGGACTGAATCACCTCCAGCACCCATCCTCCACTCTCCTTCCACCCCCACCTCCTCTCCTCCCATCTCCTCCCCTCCCAGTCCCCCGGCCCAACCCTCCCTTCTGGCCACCCTGCTGGCCAGGAAGAGGTCTATCATCACCGTCCCCGCTACCAAGGAGGTCAGCCCGCCATCACGTGGTAGCTCCCATCCCTCCCCTATCCAGCTGCCCTACCTGCCCCACTCACCCTTCCACCTCTTCTCCTATGACCTAGATGAGGAGCCGTCACCCCCGGCTCCTCCCAAACCCAATGAGGAGTCGCCCAAATCATCTTTCAGGTCAGAGGGACATCAGACCTCAGTCTCCCATCAGTTCAAGAATCACAGAAAGCTTTCCTTTCATCTCTTCACTGCTGCACTTTTTCAATTCTCACGTGTGTTTTTGGCTTGTATCCTGGCACCAGTTTGGATCTCATTGTACCACTCTTGTTATTCATCACCTCCCCTTTTTACTAGTTCTTTCACTTTTTTTGACTGCACCGCTTCTCACCTTCAGTCTGTCAGTGATCTTATTATATCACCTATTTGTTCTGTCGCATCTATTTTTCTCAGTTCTGCAACTGACCAGTAGCTTTTCACACTTGTTTGCAGTCCTCCCTTTATTTATCAGTTCCACTGCATTTCCTCTCTTTTAAGGGAGTATAATAAACAAGTGCTGTATTGTTTTCTCAGATACCTTTGAGAACTCTTCACTTGTGTATCTGTATAGTTTCTCGTTGCTTTTTATTATCATTGTTTTAGTAGACAAATTCATTTTGTTTGCCTTACTTTCTGCATTCACTGCATTGTTGTTGTGCATTTTTTTCTTGTTTGACAGGACTCTATTAGTTTATGATCTACATCTTATCCTAGGCACGGGCCTGTTAGGATAATCTTATATCCACATGCTAAGATTTACAGTCATGTTAGAGATTAATTGTGCATATTATATCAGAACTAGAGCTAATATGTGTAACCATAACAATAACATGTAAACACTGTTTTGCATTGACAGCACCTTTGTTCAGTTTCTCATGGACCAGTTAGTCAAAGTAGTGTTGGGTTTCTGAACGACTGTAGAGATCACTCACTGGTAATCATTTTCTCACACTTTTCTCACCCAGGAATGGCGGTCTCATGTCCTACCTGTCTCTCAGCAGTTCGAGTACACCCACCAACTCCAGGTGAGAATCCCCTGCACCAATATGCATCTACACATAGATGTGGAAACATCTTTAAAATATGCACTTCTGTACTGTAAACATGTTCAGATACAAGTGCATATTCATGCGTGTTTGCATGAACAAATATACACTCCCTCACATTTGTAACAAATATAGATTGTGTCTGGCTGGTCCTGCATCCATGGCGATGAATGTGCTCCTCATTACTCCATGGAGAATAACGTCATTAAAACATAATTTTTTTCATTGAGGAGCACTATCTAAATCTTATGTACATGGCCTGTTAATCGCTAATTTTCTCTTGCTCCCTCCTTCAGGCCTGCTCTGGGAGGTCTTCTTTCCTCTTCTTACCGACAACATCAGGAATCTCTGGCAGCTGAACGAGAGCGCCGCCGTGTGGAAAGAGAGGAGAGACTGCAAAGGATAGAGAGAGAGGAAAGGAACAAGCACAGGTGAGATGTCACTAGCTTAGTTTTTATCATAATGTCAGTGAAAGTAATGTAACCAAAAATCTGTAAAATGCCACATTCACATACGTAAAGACACTTACATCCTGCCAAAAGCTCACCAGCTCTATGTTGGACACACTGCTTCCAGCACCATCGGCATCTATAATACACCGTCTTGTCAGAATTCTGATAGATGACTTCTTTAAAGTGTTGTTACAACAGAATCCAGCAAGATTTCAGCATATTTACTTACACAGGTTAAAAAAAATCACAGCGCTCCTCTCTCAAGCTCAGTCCAAGGTAAAGAAGGAAGGGGCCACAATGCATTTGGTCAAGTTTTGGCGGAACATACACATCTCATTCCATACCTCCATCTATATGGATAAAATGGAAGTGGCCAAGGTACTAGGTGACATTAAACTCCAGCAGCCCACTGTAGGTTACTTTTACATAACATCACCAAAATTGAACGGTGTTACATTAACAGGAAAACCATAAACATTGAATGGCAAATTGAATGTTGAAAACCTTTAGGGGACCTTTCACCACCAGTGGAAAACAATTTAGTTATTTATTTATCTCCCCTTAGTACATGTTTACCACCTGGCTACACTTTTTTCAGCCTTGCTGCCACAGATGACAGAGTTTTTTTCTTTATATTGTCAATGCAATGTATTTATTGCCATCGGGATGAAAAGAGAAATTCAAGAAATGTAACAAAATATGCTTCTGGAAGGAATCGCCAACCCTACCTTTATTACCAAGGAAAAGAAGTAATATCAAGGAAAGTTTAGGCATGACAGTGTACATTAAATATAAAATGTATTACATTTTAAATATATATATGTATAAAAAATATTAATGTATTACTGAGTGTACAAAATAAGTACAAAAGAATAAATGAAAATATTTGGATTCATATATGTACTGATGTGGAAGCAAGTGATTTTTTTTATAGAATTATGGGTAACATCAATACCTTAGCTGCTTGTGTGCATAATACTGTATCCAGATGTGTCATTTTGACACAGACAGGTCTACAGAATTACATACAGGGGTCAGGTATGTTGCATCCAGTTCTTTTTACCATACTAACTCTGAGAGACGAGGCAGTCCAAGTAACTTCAAAACAGTGCTGATTTATTCCATGAACACAGGTAAAAATTAACATTACACGCTCAGGTATCTTGCACCTCCAACATGCACGCAGGCAGATGAAAAATGAAAGACCCTGAGCCACAACAGGCCTATACATTATATCACTTCGGGCTAACCCCATACTACAAGGAGAGACGCCAAGCCGTGACGTCTCCCGGTGCCAGCTTTGCAACTGCCCAGAGCAGTAGTCAAAACATGAGGAAAAATCACTGTGTGAATGTCTGTTGATTATGGTGTGTAGCTAAAAACATTCTAACACGACCTCTAGTGACATGTCATGACATTAAACATAGAAAATATTATGGCTATGGCTGCAGTTATACACGTTATAATAATAATATTAAACATCCTGTCTTCTAACAGTCATCAACTTTCTATCTAGTCATCCTTGACCATGAGCAACCTGCAGCAACTCATGAGAATGACTAAGCATTTAACAGCCTGAGCTAAACATCCTGTCTACACTAAACATTTCTAATACTAAATGCTTAGTCATTCT